CAGCGAGTACCGGCGGAGCTTCGGGTGGAGGGGCGCGCGGGGCGCCGCTCGGCAGCCGCAGCCGCGGGCCGGCGGCGCCGGGCTGCGCTCCGAGCAGCTCGGTAAGGGCCCGCGCGGTGCCGCCCACGGGTCCCGGGGCCCGGAGCCGCCGTGGCGGCCGGGCAGGCAGGCGGGAGGTGAAGGAAGCGGCGCTGGGCTGGGAGGCCTCGGAAGCAGCGGGTCGTAGCCGCGGTGTATGGAAAAGTAGCAGGGAAAGTGGGAATTGCTGTGGAATACGAGGCACTGCCAGTATGGCCCAGCTCAGTGCGGTTGTGCAGCTGGAATCCGTGTTTCCGTTCCAGAATATGGCCAGTGCGTTTAGTTGTGGCCTAGGAATTAAAGATCGACTCCTGGGAGTACAGGTGGTTTTCAATCCAGATATTAATCATTTTAATAAATAATCTTGCTGCAGTGCCTTCCGTTTACCTATTTCTTCTGTTAGTGCAGTCTGTTTCTTTAACCTTGTTTTCCCTGGCTCGTAGTAGGGGTACCTGTATGTGTGGGTTTAGGAAAATAACTTCCACGGGTTCCCAAACACCCAGGCTTTGGAACACGTGAACTTGTTTTAAAATTGCAGGCTACGTTTCCTTTCCAGTTGCATGTGTGGAGCAGTGAGGCTTTGAACTGCAAAGCAAATMATACCAAATCTGCAATGAAATTGTGAGTTAGCAGTGCAGGGCTTCCTCCTCTTCACCTTGCACCTGGGGGACTTGTGTGAAATTGGTGTCTTTTTTCTTTTTAATTGTAGTAAGGTGTTTATGTCTTAGTGTTTTTTTTATTCCCTTAAACCTAATACATCTTTTCTAGGAATCTCAAGAGAACCCAAGTTCATTTCCAAGAGAAGGGTACCCCACCGTAACCCCCAGATTTCAAAGTCCTTCGAATGGATGGCAGATTGTGATTCCAACGATTCGTTAGGAACTGAAGCTCTTCCGACTGTGGAATTGCAGAGGGACAACAATAACAGTGAAATGAGTCGGGAAAAGATTGAAACGCCAGAAGGACCCAGGCTCTCTCCAAAAGTTCGGGCATATTCTGCAGATGCTGGGGCTGAAACAGCTCTTGCTATTCGAGAAAACAACAYGAAGAAATCACCATCTGCAGCTGCACCAAATCAGGATGAAGCATTTGTATCTCCAAAAAAGGAATTAGGAAAAGTGGAAAATGGGGTAACRGAAGTTTTTTATTTATTTTTAACTAACTTAATGTACTTATTCTAGCCTCTGTTCCTGATGGTATTGACACTTTCGTTTTTTGGTAACACTATTCTGTGTTTTGACGTTTTTACGTGCTCTAGGTTCTCTTTTAGGAGAATACTACTTTAAGGCTAGATTATGTTTTTTCTAACATCAGTAGGAATTATGTCCATCGCAACTCATTTCTGTTCACTTCAGTTAAACCAGAAAATTTGCATTCATTTAATTAATGTAAACAGAAAGCAAAATGGATTTGAACACATGCATTAAAAACATAAGGATGATAAATAGGAGGGAACAATCAGCGTTAATTTTTTTGGATCTTTTTGTGCTGTCAGCTTCACAGAGTCCTTCAGAGGAAAGCAGGCATGAATATTTCACCTTTAAATACTTTTCCTAGAAATTCTGAATATCAAAGCCAGTTTGTGTGGAAGAGTCCTCACGAAAAGTCTCCAATACTTGCAGCTGAGCAGGTAACTTTCAAGAATTTGAAAAGCAGATGAACAGTTTGTTTCAAATGTCAGTAAGTTACTTACTTCCAGGTTCTCCAGGGCTGGCTTATTTATTTTTGTGGCACGAACAGGCATGTTGTTCCATATATGCTTTTGTTTTCCCCAAATAAACGAAAACACAGTGTGATTAGATTTTTTTCACTGTGATACTGTGTGGTAGTCAAGTCTGATACTTGATCTCCTCCCAGGCTGTATAGACTGTAAACTGCATTGGTTGTTCTCCCAGATTCTCTCCAGCTCTTTCTAAAAGGGCCATTTCCTTCTGTTTGCRTTAGTTTAAGATTCTCTTCAGTATATCAGAATTAACCCTTGATTCCATGCTGTTTGGCTTCGTATTAAATAAAACAGGAGTATTTAGATCCTGTGTCCTCTATCTCCATAGTTAGTTATTTTGATTTTTCTTTTTTCTTTTTTTTTTGTTAATTTTATTGAAAAATCAGAGCCACTTGATTTTAAGATAGTCTGGTGGCATTTTGACATTTCTCGTGACTTTCTGGACCTTGTAGGATTGGGAATTCTGCTATTTCTAGTCAGACTTTGAAGAGCAACTCTGACTGTAGGACTAATTTGTGTTCCCAGTTTATTATTTTCGGGATCCTGAGTAAGGTCTCCATCATAAACAGGGAAGCTGTCCTACTTTTGTTCACAGTACTGTATAAAATGGCCGTTATAATAAAAATAAGTGTGAGATCCTGAGCTTGAAACTTTGCTCCTGCTCTTGTTAAAGAGTTTTTATTTTGTCTCCTTTTTCTTTGCTGGGAATATTCATGGGGTTATTACAGAAGGTGCTATCTCCATTTTTTATCCCTAGGTAGCAGATTTGTTCAGTAACAGCTCTCAAAGGTAATAAATGCTGCTAACAAGCATCCATCCCTAAAAAGCCCGTTCCTGTCTCTCCTTGGGATGCCAGACAGGTGGGCTTCCTTTGAGATGTTTGTTTCCCAGCAGTTCCTTGTCCAAGGAGAACTCTCATTAAAGTGCATGACAATTACATAGAAACTAAAGGACCATTTCAGAAGAAGGCAGGTCCATGATGTCACTTCATGGAAACATTTAAAGAATTCAATTTGATTGAGGTGGAAATCAGGCTCATGCTCTCATTATTGATGCTTGTGAACATGGATTTTTTTTTCAGAAGAAAGAATGTAGAATCTAAAATGACTTTTTTTTTTCAGAGCTAATATCAAAGCCATACCAATTCAGACTGCAGGCCCTATAAAAGCTGAGATAAGTATAACTTAGAGAAGATCCAAATGTTTTAAAATATTTGCAGGTTCTAAGCTTAAGATTAGAATTTCATGTGAAACATTCAAAGTAGTACTGAACTGTTTCTTTTGATTGCTATTTATACAATAGAGAATATGCCTGAATAGTGACAGTGCCTGGCGCTCGAAAACAATTTGAACGTTCTTAGACTAAAGACAAGACTAAAGAAAATGTTTGCTTGTAACATATGGCATGTTTTGTTTTGTTTTTTAACTCTCACCAGCCCAAGAGGAGGTGATACCTGGGAGAGTGTGTTAGACAGATTTGGTTCCTTGACTTGCAACAAGGTGTTAATTGGAAAGYGCTGGGAGATCAAGTTACCAAGCCCTACACATTTGATTCTAAAACAAAGAACAGTTCTTTTTTACTTATGGACAGCACCTATATCAAGGACTTTCATGGCTTACAAAACTAGGCTTTATGGCATATGTTTTGGAGAAAAAAAAGAAAAAAGTGATCTTGTATATACAAATCTTGTTGTATACAAATTGAAAAGTGAACTGCAAAATTTCCTGCAGTCTTCTCAGATAAATAAAACCTCTGTTCACAAACTTCAATAACAAAAATTTTGATTGTTGACTGTAGGTTCATCAGTATCTTAGTAATCACTTCTAAATGATTACTTTAAGTTTCTCTGTGTTTTTTTTTTTTTTTTTTTTTTTGCTTCTTTCTTTTCCTAGAAATGAATTAGTTTGCACATGCTGTATTAGTATGCATGGCTGACTCTTTGCTCATGTGTGAGCATATTTGCATGAATTGCTTAACTGATTTTGAAATGTAATCTTAAAGTAAGCAAATGTGTTTGTTTTTTTTTTTGTAATTCAAAGGTAATTCACAATGCGAGYAAATCCATCCCTCCGTTTAAATCCGCACTTACTGCTGAAGCTGAATATGAGAGAAATATCAGAGAGTCTCCTGTTAAGAGTCCACAGCTGAGATGYGATTCAGAAGAGAAAGAATTTCCAGTTTGTGAACAAGTAAATATTTGCTCTAAGAAAGTTATTGGTATACTTTTATAACTTTGATTTTGTTTTCTCTAGCCTGGATAGGTGTTTTTTCGTTTGGTTGTTGGTTTTTTTTTTTTTTTGTGTAAGTTTTGGTTATATTTTATAGCTGCTGTTAATGACTTTGGGCTGGGTTGGGAGTGGTGGTTCTTTCAAAAACTGAAAATAACACTGAAGAGCTTTACTGTCAGTGGTTTCTCTAATGCATATGTCTGGTATAAAGAGACATTTTAAGTTTTTTTATTATTTTTTTTTTCTCCTGTCACCTTAATTTGATTCCAAGTTTGACCAGTGTTTTTTGAAATTAAATTTGTTTTTAGGCATTGGGGTAGAGTTTCTGAAATCTAAATCTTCAATTTGTTTTCACTGATACCTGTGTAATCTCTTACTATTCAACTCTGTATAGGAGAGCTCTTGCTTTTAATACCACTTAGATTTACAATTTTATAGCTTGGAGATTAGATACAGAATGAATTAAAAAAAAATCCTGATGTATGAAAGTTGCCACCGTTAGAAGTGGTTTTCAGACAGCAGCTATAATTTGGAGAGGCATGGAGACAGGGCTAGAATTCACTTCCCTTTGCCTCGGTGGGTTTAATTGGCAAATACAGGCCTGCTCTAAAGGCAAATTGTGTAACCTCTGTAGGCTCTGCCCAATTCATTAAAATGTCCTTTGGAAGAAGCCACAGGCAGCAGTTGCCTGCTGGAGRCCGTGCATTTCCTTCTCTTGTCTTGTCCTTGGCTAGAACAAACAGGGGTGGAATTTTAGGAAGTGTAGTTACAGCTGTTTAGCAAATGCATTTAATAAAATGAAATAATTTCAGGCTGAGAGTGCCTAAAATAGAGGAGGACAAATAAAGCTCTGAGTGCATCACAGACCTGATTTTTGTGAGGTGAAAGGATCAATGGCTGCTTTTGTATCAAGCTACAGGATGGAATTATTTGAAATCATGAGATGAGCTTAGGGTTCTTCAGGTAAAATGAACATCAGTGTCTGCCTGTCTTTCCTGGATAAAGCAGGAACAGCCGCCGTCAGGCACCGTGCTTGCTGTGACTGTTGCCTGCTAAGCGTGGAGTGCATGTGGCTCCGGAGGAGCCTTTGATGCTTTTGAGGTCTTCAGAGGCGACTGTAACAGTTAGAACCTTGGCCTGCCCAGAGCTTTAAATCTCATCTGAAAATGGCAACTCTTCATGTCTTTCTTTGCTGCTTTTGGCAGATATGAGGAAGGCCTGAAAGGCTGAAGGTTTCCAGGAAACTTTTTTTTTAATTTGTTTTAATACTAGGATTAAGGTTTTATTTTCCCAAGAGAATAAGCAAGATTTATGTGCTTGAAAAGGAAGAGAAGGCATGAGGAGGGAATTTTTGGTGAAAATGTCTAAAACATTTGTTGCTTACATCCATATGTCTTCTAATAGATATGTCTGAAGGAGAGATATATATCTGAAGATACATTGGAGACAAATTTGGGAATTTTCTTAGTTTTTTTTTTTCCCCCCAGCAGAATCAGTAATGATTGAGTTTTCCAAGAGCAAATAATATAAGCAAGAAAGAAAAATCTTTGATATGAAAACAAAAGAAATCAATCTGTCCCTTTATAAACCATATTGTCAAAAAAAAGTTTAAAAGCTCCTTTTTGTTTAGTGAGAATTTGCTTTTTTTACTTTAGTGTAATACTAAGATTGTTTTTAAAAAAAAAATAAATGACTCCAGGAATGTGCAGGCTAAGTTGTATGCAACACAGGTTAGAATGCACAGGTATCATGCACTTTTATTGCTGTGTCCCATGTTAAATTCATTTTGTGAAGTGTACAAAGTGGGTCATCTGATGAAATGAACTTYGCGCTAGGAATCCTAACAATGGCATTTTGCAACTTTTAATTTTCTATTAAATAAGGAGTGAAATATTCTTTCTTGTATTGAATATGCTTAACAGTTAACATTTTAAATTCAAATTAACTTTTTTTTAATTCAAGAGTTTGATGTCAAAAGAAATGTGAAGGATTTTTAGTTTGTTAGCTAATATGGTATTTTTAAAATTATCTTTGCCTTAGAATAAAAGGAAAGAACCGTTTCAAAGGCCAACAGAAGATGCATCAAAACAAGGGAAAAAATCAGAACAGAAACATCCCAAACAAAAAAATAAGCAACAGATCAGTCAGAAACCCCTCTCTTTACATACAAGTCGTGGGTATGTATAATACAGGCAAACCTAGCCTAGTGAATAGGTGTCTAGCACCCTGATATTAGAGATCTTTAAGCATGTGATGGATGCTACAGTCACAGGCACACGTGCAGCATCTGCCTCTTACACAGAGGTCTGCATCAGCATTGGGGCTGAGCTGCCTGGGGCTACATCTGTACCTGCTGTTAAATCTCTGTGCCCTTCTCTGGGCTGTGAAGCTTGCCTCAGTTGAACTTCTTCATGAATTAACATTAATAAAATTAACACAAATGAAATTTCAGAACTGCGGTGCTGCTGTTGAGCTTTCAGTGAGCGCTTTGGAAGTTGTAGTCACCTTTCAAACTGCTCTCCTGCTTGTTGCACACATCTCAGAACTGTGAAGACGCTGCTTGGTGATGACTGTGTTGTCTAGCTCGTACCTCCTCCTGTCCCAGAGAGTAACAAGAGGAAACAAAAGGTAGAGGGAGATAAAAAAAAAAAAAAAAAAAAAGTCTGTCCTGTCTCAGGTAATCTGACAGGTATGGACATAAGATGAACTCAGATTGCTACTGAGGGGTATCCAAGTATCTTTTACTTCTGCCACATTCATATACTGCAGAGATTGAGCTTGTGTTTCCATTTTCTGCACATCTGAGATCTGTCAGAGATGTAAAACCTCAGAATATGTGTAAGTTAAAAATGCATAAATCTAATCCATCTCCGGTGTCTTCATCCATCTCTCCATAGCTGCTTTCATTCACATAGTTTTCTGACAATAGTAAGGCATTAAATTGAAGGCAGTGCAGGAGACAGCCCATGTCTGATTACCTTTGGATATTGGGATTTTGTTTGGATGCTTTTTTTTTTTTTTTTAACTAGCCAAAACACTATAAAATTGTTTTAGGAGAAAGTGACTGGGTACATAGCTCCTAGACACAGTAGATGGGACATAATTTTGCAACTCAATAGCTTGTTGTGACTTCTCCTTAAGGATAGAGATTTATGCCTGTTAAAACATCAGTGTAGCAACACAAATGAAAAAAAATTCAAAGCAAATAATTGTGAGTATGTGCAAACTCTCAATATCTCAATATGCAGAGACAGGAGTTGCATTTTTTATGCAATGTGCTTTTTTTTTTTTTTTTAAGGCAGATTGAGATAGATGCCCATTTTTTGACAAATTCGTCAGTTTTCCAAGTAAAAGTTAGAGATTCTATCAAATTTCARAGAAAAGGACATAAAGAAAGAAGAAATGTTCTGAATTCAGAGCTTTTCTTTCCTTGATTCTTTTCTTCCTACAGCGTGTKTACCATTTCCTGACATTAGGTCTATTTCTGAAGGAGTGGAAAAAGAGGACTTCCAGAATTGCTTTTTTTAATATAGAAAAATAAAACTAGTTCTGAAATAAGTTTAAAAAAATACTTTTCTAGGTTTAAGTTGATAAATCCATGAGTCACTGCTTGAGGAAAGATTCTGACCTGTAGTATTGTGTATTACCTTATTGCGTATTGCCCGCTATAGGGGAGATCATGCTAATACCTCTGTGTATGTATGTGTGTGGCAGAAGGGGGTATGAATCAATCTTCCAGAGTGTTGAGCATTTTCGAAAGTCAAAACCAGGAAGAAACAGTGAGACAAATTCTCTAAGCGTGTTCAGGTACTGCCCCAAACAGCCCTTCCCATGCATATGCCAGACTACACTGCCTCTGTGGTGGAATCCAGAGTTCTCTGTCCAACTTATTCTGTGTTTTGGATGTGTTCATGGAAAACTGTGCTTATTTGCTCGAATGCACCTTCATCGGCAACCGCCGTGCTCTGTTTTGCATTGAAGTAATTGAGCTTTATGTGCATGTTGTGTTGTCATTTGGCTGTGAGGGCCAAAGCTTCTGACAGAATTGCTATGAGAAGCCAGCACAGGTAACTACTTCAAGAGCCACCAGCTGTGAATGAGCTTTTCACACCTTCTTGAGTTGTGTTGGCACAGATGAATGGGTGTTTTCCAAGTCTCAGCCCTAGAATTTAGATGCAAAAAAGCTTATGTATTACTGTTACTACTTTGTAAGCTCTCTTAAGAGAGTCTCCTAGATCTCAAGCTTTATTTTTTTTTYYKKTTTTTTCCCCTCTCTCTTTTTTCGTGTCTTAGGAAGATGAACACTGAATATAGATCAAAATTTTTGTCTCCAGCTCAGTATTTGTACAAAGACGGAGCATGGTCTCGGATCAGGAATAGTGTTCCCAGTCAGGTGAGTATTCTTAAAAAGAAAATAAGTGCCTGAACATGCTTTGTATAATACTTCTTAAAAATGCAAAAGAGAAAAACCCTAAACAACAATAACAAAAAACCTCTAAATTGTGGTGCATATAAAATGCAGTTTTTAGATGGTATGTGGCAAGCAAACGTGGATTGCTTCATTGTTCAGGACCAAGCTGATGGGGAAATTACAACGTGAGTGGGTTGTTGTAGGGTCTTGGGCTCTGAGCTAGGACAGGAGTAGCATTCAGTTTCTAGTTTTCTCACTGAACTAGCTTAGCAAGACATTTTTTATTTAGGGGAAAAAGCAATATATATTGAATATACATGAAAGAAAATGAATGAGAAACAGGCATGTGTAAGTATATCAGAGTTTTTGAATGTTTTCTAATTTTTTTTCATAGTTGTTCATCAGATAACCCATTCTGGGAAGTGAGCACTGTTAGAGGACTAGAAGTGAGGATGTTAGAGGACTAGAAACAAGCAATATTTTTATTTTTGTTCTATGTTAAGTCTTGCATATTTACAGTTTTACCATCACTAAAGCTAGAGCACTCTAAGCTATCGAATGCAGCCTGGTTGTATGTAGCACACAGAATGTTTCTGTAGAATATCAGCATTTTTTTCTAGCTTGAAAGGTGTTTGTCTGGAGCCTGATTTTGGTGCCAGTAAGATTCAAAACCTGAACAGGCAGCATGGAGCAGTGTGCAGGCCCAGCAGTGACTGACTGCTAGTCAAGCATAGGGAAAGGGCTGTTGCCCTGGAATATATCTCATTTGCTGCACAGTTAGCTGGAAGGAGGCACTGAAGTTCAGTGTGGGGAAAGCACGAGGAAACTGGAAGTGAAGGACTTGTGTTTTGCTTTACCAGGCAGGATCCTTCAGGGATGTAATCAAGGAGACAGGTGAGAAGTGTGGCCTTTCATCAGCACTTGCAGGAAACTGTCAGATTCCCACACTGTACAAGATGTTTTGGCTTTATCTGACTTTTCCATGGAGCTATTCTCACTGACGAGGGAATTGCAAAGGAAACTAGAAAGAAGTCGGTTGGGACTAGACATGAAGAACTTGGAGGAGAAAAACGTTAGGATATTTTAGGGCCTTTGAAGTGAAGGAATTGTGCTGGATACCCGGAAGAGCTAAATCCAATTTAAAACTATAGTAACAAAAGCATTGTTTTACTGATTGCAAATGTGCATATGTTGTATATACATGTTCACATATACATATGTACCTGAGCTCCCGATATGACTTCATATAGAAGTCTTTTATAGTTGGAATCTAGAATATATAGATACAGAAATCCAGAATACGAAAATCTAAATTTCTCCTCTCAGCTCGACTTCAGATCACAGTTAGCCTGTGAGCATGTCAAGCTAATTCAGCTAGTAGACAAGAACAATATTTAGCTCATGTAAATATGTTACTGTGTGGGATTTGCTCTTTGTAGAGTGCATTACTTCAGAAAGGGTCAAACTAATTGGCTTAATTGTAAAGCAGCAAAGGCTCCTTGGCTGTGTAAAATACAGGCTGCAGTAAAGGTTTCCTACCAATCTGTATCTTTGTTCCAAAGGTTTCCCACCAATCTGTATCTTTTTGAGTCTGTTCTTGTGCTAATGGGTTGGTGTTAAGTGTTGTGTGAAGATGCTCTGTGCTCTTTGAGGCTCATCCTTGCTGAAAGTGTCCAAAGAACCTCTCYTGCTCAGCATTAAGTGATTCCAGCAGATAAGCTCCAACTGATCCAGTCTGATTTCCCACCTCACTGAGGAAAACTCTGTGTCCCAAACATACTTTGGGCAGCTCTGAGTCCAGACRGGCAAAGGCTGTGATAGATTCCTTGTGTAACCTCAGCCCCAGTGATTACTTCTGTGCCTTGCAATGTGTGCAATTAAGGGTTGCTTTTCAGCAGGAGAATAAAAAGGACTCTTTGAATCTTGCTTTTGAAAAATTCATGTGGGCAATTCATAATCGCAGCAGGGCTCTCTGGGGCCTGTGTCCTGCTGAGATAAAGCTGCCTGCTGAGGCACTGGAGGAGCCTGCTTGTCCTTTGTACTTCTTCACAAGTCCTTGGAGACACGGTCTTCTTCCTCCCCCTGCAGTGTCCTGGTGCTCTGGATTTATATGCCTTCTGTTGCGGCTCTCATAATTAATTTTTCATTTGGCTGCTTAAAGTGAATAGTCTAATAAATCACTTACAGTTCAAGCTTTACACTGCACTCTTAAAATGGTAACTATATATTTTTAATGGGATATTCTTTGGAAGCTTAATGGGTATAATGGGTCCAATTCTGGGATATTAGCTAATGTGACATAAGTAGATTTCTATCTGCTGTATTCAGTTGTTTCTGGTGGGATTAGCAGAATTTGGCGCACGTATCTCTGTTCCTTGCAGGAAGAGCTATGCTAAGTCTGTCATGAAAGAAGAATAAATAAAATAGGCTACAAAAATGCGCTAAAGGAAGTGACAGTGTTTCTTTCCTGCTCTTTGATAAAATGCTTATTTCCTGTGAACCTCTTCTTGGGGAGCCAGGATTCATACAACAATATCACAAAGTTATTTTTAAATGATTAAAAGTGCAGGGTTTTTTTTTGTGTTTTTTTTTTTTGTTTTGTTTTGTTTTGTTTTGCTTTTTATTTTTATGCTTTCATTGTGTCTGGGTAAAGGGCGCAGGACTGAGTGTGAAGAGAATTCCAGGAACAGAAGTGTAAAATTAGCAGTGTAATGTGTAAAAGAGAGAGAGGTTGATGCCTTCATTTTTTAAGGCTAAAACTTACTTTTTTTTTTTTTCATATCTCATTCATACCGTGATTAATGAAGGAATGATTTAGACTTAAATAYGGAACACCAGGAGATCTCATGTAATCATCCAGTTCTCACTGAACTAAGATTTACRTAGCAAGAGACAGTCACAGTGTTCACAGCAGGCAGACTCAATGTTACACATGCACACAGGTCATGAATTGGTATGYGGTGAATGTATTTTTGACTGTGAGGCTTAGAAATCTGAATTTGTTGCTTCTAAAAATCTCATTCTAAAGTTCTTTCCAAAACTGGTAGAGTACAAGCATTGAGGTGTTTGTTTTACAGCTTTTCACTGAATCTCTGGGAGGCAGCATAGAGCCATGTTGACAAGTTTTTAGTATTTCGTTAATTACTTAGAATGAAATGAAGTTACAGTAGTGAAATTAACACACAATGTTGAGAGAAGAATAAAGAAATTTAAAGTAATTCTGTATTCCTCCCCTTAGGCATCTCAAAACACCCTAAATTCCATGTGGTATATGGAGGTTGGTTGCATCTAAGTTCTTGCTGTAATGTTTGGAGCACTGTGCTGTGTCTCACGCTGATAAAGAACCAGAATCCAGCACTCAGCTTCCTCTTCATTGCTGCTTTTTGTGCTCATGAAATAAATAATTGGCAATTCTGCTTTGGCTTTATGGCTCAAGCATGCTTACTTAAATCTAAACTTTTTTTGTTACTTTGCTCTCCTTCTGTTGCGTTTACTGCAGCATGCAATGTATGTGCCCTGGGTGGTCCTGCTCTGTATGTAACTTACCCTTCTCCTCTAGCTGCCCTTAGCAAGTGCAGATGCTTTCCTGGTAGCATGTCAGTGAGTTTGGGAGATGTGCAGAACCTGAAGGAGCTTTGCTGTGCAGGTGAAGGAGCTTCGAGCCAGAGCCAAGGCCTACAGGCAGCGACTAGAGGGCACCCACTTCTCCCGGCACCACCTCAACCAGATTCTCTCCGATAACAACAGCCTCTGGGACGTGTCCTCGACTTCCAGTTCCGAGGAGGGCATCAGCAACAACATCAGGGCCCTGGATCTGGCAGGGTAAGGTTGTCATTCCTGCGTGTTCGTTCCCGAAACGGAGCAAAACGCTGTGGGCTTTGCCTGACTGTGACATCTTTAGTGGTTTTTGGACTAAAGCCCATCAGGGCATAGACCTTTTTACTATACGGGCTGGTCTGTAGTGCAGGAGTTGATATGTGTTCAGATTGAAAACCAGATGTGGTCAAGTCTTCTGAAAGAACAGAAGTATTGCACCTTCATTCTCCACAGCTCTATTTTTAGTGTGGAAATCTTGGTTTCATCAAGCTTGTGGGAATCTGTTGCTAAGTCAGTGCCATGAGATGTGTTTTACCAACTCTGATGTTATCAATGCTCTTGTCAAGATTAGCTTTTAAAGTTGTGGTTGAGTCTTAGACTCAGCTTACATCTGACAAGAAGATTTGGGAGATGGAAAGGCATACAGCCTTTCATTAAAGACTATAAAGAAGTGGTAGATTCTAAAACTTTTAATTGTTTAAAAAAATAATCAAAAGATAATATTTTAGTGAAATGTATGGACATCTGTTGCCCAAGAAAGGGGAAAAAATGTGTCTTATTGTCTCTGCAAAATCTGATGTTTGAAAGCCCTGCCTTGTCTGTCCCTCTCTCTACAGTCCACTTACACAGCTCTGTGTAAACCACTTTTCCTGGGTGAGGAAGAAAGATCTGCCCGTTTGCCTGGCTGTAGCTGAAGTAAGGGTTAGGGAGGTGACATTTGAAAAATTATTTATTGCATTGTAATGTCTGAGATCAAGTACAAGATAATCATTTTTTTTCTTCACGTGCACTGCACTGTCTTGCGTGTGGCTGGTTTCTGTGAGCAGCCGAGAGTTCAGTATTTTTGAAAAGTTAGTGCCAAAAAGGCAGTCTTCTAAGCTGCTCAGTTGTGAAAAGTTTTGTACCACTAGACCAGATATCTTTTGAGCACTCCTGGTAATCCAAATTGTTATTTAAATAGGAAATGGAGTTCTAACCTTCCATTTGTGGGGTAGTGATCCACAGAATCTGTCTTGAAAATGGATTGTGCTTAAATGTCAGTTAGAACTTCAATAGAAATGTATTTGTACCTCACATTTACAATTCCACTTCTTAATATCTGAACTGTCCTTTTGGCAAAGGACTGAACCATGAGAATGTGCTGGTCTTAGACACGTGCGTATCCTTCAAATCAGCTGGGTGAGAAAACTTTCTGTTTCTTTCTGTTACTTAGAGTTTCTGAAAAAGAGACTTCACGGAGCCCCAAMGCGCTGCAGCAGCCTGGGGCTGCCGAAGAGCTGCAGCAGGACAGCCCTGAGAAGAAGGACCTGTCAACTGCCTCCACTGTCCCAGTCAAGAGGCGTTTAGTTTGGGGTGAACAAGAAGGGACTGAAGGAAGAGACAGCCAGCCCTCAGCAGAAGAGGAGGAAAAAGAAAATGAGCCGGTTGCAAGCGTGGCCCAGGAGACAGGTGATAAGGATGGCATCGAGGATAAAAACAATGAAGGGTAAAATTGATCATTCTTGTGCAATATATAATTTCTTGGCTGTAATATCTCAACAATTTAAAGCATAGCTTTTTTTTAAACAGCTTTAGGACACTTTCATTGACTGGTAATTTTGGCATGACACTAGTTTTGTTTTTAATAGCAGAATAAGGAATTAAGTATTTTGTGACGTTGAGCTCGTTGATGGGGTTGGATTCATTTTTAAGAATACTGGATTTTTAGCTTGCAAGAATCTCTATTTGGCTAAGAGTATAGAGAGTTCCTTAGGACTGTCAAAATTTGTTGTGCAGTCTCGGAACAGACTGATTACAAAGCAGCTAAGTGTATTGAAAATTAAAGTTCGCAATTTACTTTGAACTGGCAGCGTAGAATTGGTAGGATTAAGTGCAGTATTACAATGTATCCTCTCAAGCAAACCTGTAGGTAAAAATAAGAAACTTGCTGGAAAAAATGACTAGCGTTTGTGTTACTGAGCTGAGGTAGAAAAAAATCTGGAAGAGTATTTAGAAGTAGGAAGAATTCAACTCAGCATATGCGTAGTATATTACATATTACTGTATTTGCTAATGGGAAGGCTCATATTTTATCTAGTTGCAAAGCTGGKTTTTTTGTTATGCAAACTTTGGAAAAATTTTGGAAGAGAGATGTTCAGGTATTTAAACACATACAAATAGAAAAATATAAATAACTTTAACCCTCCTTACTGTAATGTCTAATCATTTTGTATTCCATTCTGTGTTTTATCTTTGGTGTTGCAACAGCCATCTAAAGTAAAGAATTGCAATAATCTCATTTGCGGGTAATATCCTGTATGTGAAATCTGGGCAAAGAAGGATTTAGTTTTTGCTTAACCCCAGAGATGATCTAGTTCATGTGTGTGTGTCTCGTTGACATTATAACTTTTTGCCGTGTAAAATGGGGCCAAATGGCTCTGGGCTTGGCTGTGCAGAGCAGGTTCAGTACCTGGCTGTGGTCGAGGTCTTTTGAGCCCTGCAGATGAGACCTTCTTTGCGTGCGTGTCAACGTGCACTGAGAGGAAAGGGATAGAAGTGGTGGTGCTGATTTATAGAGGAACCTGGGGGCCAGGGCAGTTGTCTAAGTGTGGGATACCTGGTTTCAGTTCCACCACAGTGGCTGAAAGGAGTCAAACCTTCATTCCCAGCTCAAAACCAGCAGTCTGGTCCAAAGATGCCCTGGATAAGGACCCTTTGCAGCCCTGCTGTGGAATCTGTCACTGTGCAGCAAAGCATTCAAGGTGTAACGGCCCAGGGCAAGCCTGAATTTGTAACCTGAGACTCTTTGTGTATTTTATCCAGTTCATGTTTTAATGGAAAATTTGGAACAAATGGGAGGTGAGGACTAGAATGCACAACTCCCCATGGAGGGCAGATGCTTTAGCTGCAGCATCTTGGTGCTTTATGGTCCTCCCTGACTTGCCTTAGGCTTTGTAAGAGTGTATTAGAAACCAGCAGCGTGAATGCAAGTCTCCCAAGTCGTTACCTAATCCTGCAATCGTTTCCCGTTTTTGCAGCAAGAAGGCCTTGGAGCTGAATCCCTCTCCGTCAGTCTCTTCTGTGTCCTCAGGGAAAGGTGGCCGGCTGCCCACTCCAGAGCTCAGAGCTCATGGTGGTGCTCAGAGGACCCACCATGATCTCACCACTCCAGTTGTTGGTAAAAGGACTTTTTAAAATGTGAAGCAACACTTCAAGAACTAAAAATACGTGTTTGAATTATTTTTTTAATGCAATAAAGCATTTTTCTGTCCTTAGGAGGTGCAGTTTTAGTGTCTCCTCCAAAGCCCAAGGTGTCATCTCCACAGTGGAGAACAAGAAGTTTAGGAACAAACCGTTCTCCAGATAAGCAAGGAGCAAGAGAAGCTTCAAAAAGAAGATCCTGCAGGGTGAGCCAGAAAAAGGAATCATCAGGCATTTTAGGAGTGAGCTTTTTATGTCATTTTGACTATTTTTTTTCTAATAACTGTGTGGAGCTGTCATTTATTACTCTAAAATTTTCAATATCTCTGATTGACAAATGCTGATGTCCAAGTGTTTTCAAGTTTAATTATATACTTTTTTTAATCGAGCCAAGAACTGAGGTTTTTGGAGTGAAAATGGATGAGTGCAAGGTTGGCTTTTTCTGCTAACTGCATAAGGTCCAAACCAACCAACCAACTGAAAAAAACAGCATTGGGAGCTGTTGATTCCCTACTAAATTTAACTTATTGTTGTCGTGGAGCAGAGCTTCAGATCCATAATTGAAGGGAGCTAAAGATGGGTTGGGTACCCATGTGCTATGTGTGTAAATGTGCCGTAATAGTTTTGTTTGCCTTTTTTTTTTTTTCTTAAGTTCTATTCTTCATTTTACTTTTAACTTTGCAAAGTTACGAAGAGGGGGGGAAAACTTTTAGGGGGTATTTAGCAATCTTCATCTTAAATCATGTCATTGTAAAGTTGTGTTCATCTGCGTTCTGTAAAGACAGTCAGAACTTCGCTGCWTGTATATCTGTAGTGAGATCTGTAGTAAGATCTTCAACAGATGCAGAGACAATTAACTGAAAACAAAACTTCAATGCTTAAGGCCTTAAATGCTGCTGCTTCCAGAGCCTCATGACAAGTGTCGCAGCCAGCATTTGCTGCCTGCGTGGGGATGTCTACAGGAAGGCTGATGCGGATGTATTTGTAGCAGCGTGTGAGCTGCCTTTCTTTTTCTCCTCTCCTTGTGGCTTAGGCTGCTGCAGAAGTGGACGCTGTTTCGCTCCTCACCTCCCCACCTGCTGGCCTGGGAACTTTGGATCCTTTGCCCTTGAGGCAGGATGAGTGGCCGGCTGCGGAGCGAGTTCCTCTCGCTTCCCAACACGAGGAGCGTCCCGAGGAGCGCCCCGCTCCTCCTGCTCTGCTGAGGGCCGCCCAGAGCCACCCGCCGCATTCCTGGAGCCCCTCTTGTCGCATCCAAGGGACTCTCAAGGACCCGGAATTCCAGCATAATGGTGAGTTGGGGGTATTAACTGGCTGTGCTTAGGAAGTGCCCCAGGGTGGGGATGGTTCCCATGCAGAGCTCAGGGTGGGAGTGCTACCCTTGCTGCTTTCCTGCCTGCAGAAAGTGGGTGCTGCTTGTAAASAGCAGCAGAAGCTGTTGTTTATGTTCAGGCTTGCTGGGGAAATGGGCACAGCTCAGCTTTAGATTATTTTGCTGTCTGATTTTTGTCTTATTAATTTCAATAAGCAGTTGGTGTAGTATCAACACTTGTTTCCTCCTTAAGCTACAACTGGATATTCTGACACCTTCCCAGACAGAGTTACCCATAGTGATGGGTAACTGGGAACCTTCATAATACAGTTTTAGTTTGCAAGAGCTGTAGGTCTCTGAGAAGACCTCCAGCTCCTTAAATATTTTATGGGTTATGGGGACAAAAAAGCCATCTATAAAAGATACATCAGATATTCAGAAAAAACATTTGGAGTGTTTTTGTCCCCTGGGAGTGTTCTTTGTTGAGGAGTTGTTTGTGTTGGAGCATTTCAGAATAGTTTTAAACAACAGTTATTAAGATGTTATTAGTATTGTGTGATCTTACTATACATTGGGTCTGCAAATCTGATAAGCACACAATCTTTTATCCTTTGGTCAAAATAAAGAGTATGTGCTTAAGTCTCTGTTCCAGAAAGGTTTTTAAGGTCTCAGTACTCTTGGTCCTTGTATTAGAAGGAGCAGCTAGACCAAGGTACTGTAGGCTAAGATACTATTTTTATTTTATAATGGAACAAGTAGTGATGAAGTTAAGTGAACTGGTCAAACTCAGAACGTGAGTTTAGCTGTGCGTCTGCAGTGTGGTTCACTGTGTGCCTGTTGTGGCATCTACCATAGACAGATGCCCTGGGAGGAATACAGTGGAATCAGTTTATTTAACCTTGTCTCAGAGTTGAGGAGTCCCACTGAGGTTTTGGCTTGTTTTTTTGGCTTGTTTTTTTAAGATTTTTCAAATGAACTGTTGGTGTTTGTGTGTTTCAGAATGATTCTGTGTTCATTTAATATTTTTTTTTTCTTTTTATCTCCTCCTTTAGGGAATGTTGTGAGTCCCAGAATGAGATCTTTCCAGCTACCACTTCAGGAAAGAAACTGCAATGATGAAGGTATTGCTTCCCACGGTGTTAATGTGTGTCATACGTATCACATAGAATCATTTTAACTTCTCTTTTGCCCTTAAGTAGGATGTCTCTGACTACTCTCGTAATATTGGATGTGTCTACATGAGTAACTACCCCATTGTATCATCAAAAGAAATTCAAAAATGTGCTTCCCAATAATCTGAAGTGTGAATATGAAGGTGTGCTCCAATTTGAATAGACCATTAAATATAACTGAAAATTAAACAAACCATTGTGATTCAGCATGGTTAAAATACCTTGCTCAAATCCGTACCTGAAATCATTCCCTCCATGCAGATTTTTAAGCCTTTTTATTGACATTGACAGAAACCAACTGCAGAATGATCGCAGCCCGGCCTGCGTTTGCCGTACTTTTYGATGCGGTTTAAAAGGTACCAAAAATAAAATAAAAAAATTAAGATAAATCTCTTGCCTGTGAGACTTCATCACTAGCTGATTTCGCTGACTTTAATGTTTACACCTGTTTTTCTGCTAACTGTGCTAGGGATCCTTTGGGCATCGGATGTTTTGGATTGCTCTTTTGGATATTTTCGGATATTTTTGGGATTGCTCTTTTGTCCCTTTACTCTGTTTAAGGTAAAGTTACTCTGGGGAGGAGGTAACACACAGCCCTCTAGTACATCTGGGCCCTTYGGTTGGCAGACCCAAATAAAGGCTTTCTGTAGTCTGAGGCAAGCAAAGACACTCTAACCTCATTAGCTTGAGCTCATAAATGCTATTTTTTTAGTGTGGCATGTGAGATTGGGCTTGGTGTGGGGCTGTGCCTAGCCACAATCACTTGCCTTACAGGGTTAGCGTGTTGGCAGTGTGAGATTATGTCTGGCTGCAGGGTATTTATAGATGAACCCAAGAACAAGCAAAAGGTCTTTGCTGCTGCCTTTCACGCCTGTTTGCTCCTCAGTTTTAACCAAGGTTCAGCCTGATTCTCTATTTCAGTCACTGCAGTTGCCTGGAAAATGTGTGGGTTGTGCAGCTGGCCCAGCCAAGCATCTGTATATCTGCCTAAAACATGCAAGATCCTGCAGCACTGTGCAGCTTCCCACAAGTTTGCCACGCAGACTGAGAGCTGTAACTGTCCTTTTTTTTTATTATTATAAGCTGAGTGATGATCTCTGAGCTTTCAGAAACAGGCACAGTGTGGCAACTCACAGATATTTCATATACCATATTTGTTCATGAACATACCCATACCAAATTGGGAGTAAATCCAAGCACATGTCTGATTGCTGGAGTGCCTGGGAATATTGTTGTGTGTGTTGTGTGCAAGCCAACATGTTACAGCTGTTCAGGATCTCTGTATTTCAAGGATTTAGAAATATTGCTGAAAAGTTAATGGCAACACTTGSAAAATACAGATCCCGTTAGGATTTAGTCATGGAATTGTTGTTTTTTTGGTGTTCTTTTTTTGGAAAGCAGTGGTATGGTTTTGTTTATCCACTGCGGGAGAGTTGATGTATTGAAGGTCTTTATCCATAGAAAGCATCTTGATAAATCTATAACAACACTTCAATAATGATGTTACAGAGTGTGGCATTGTGCTTTTTTACTCAGAGAAGCCTTCAGGCTGTGTAATTTTGAAAGTTTTGTTGAAAATCAGATGGTTCCTCTAGTCAAAGAAGCACCTTTAAAGTACATTTCTGAAGCATGTTTGTTGTCTTTGTGTTAACCTTCCCGCTTTCTTCAGAAGACATGTTTTCAAACAATTTGTGGCAGACTGTTCTTGCACAGAATGCTGCTTTCAGCAACATAGATTCTGATATTTTAGTCATGGCATTCTAAGGCTGTCTGTCTTGCTTAAAGTGGAGGGTTGCTTTCGCAAATATGTTATTACCAGAAGCTAGTCTAGACCAAGTCCAGTGGCGGGGGAATGATTTCTGAGGTCTCCTAATGAAGGAGAGGAAATGTAGAGTTAAGTTGGARAAATGAGCAGTGTTTTCAGAATTGCCAAATAAAGACACCTCATTTCCTCAAAAACTGGCCATGTAATCCYCTTAAACCTCGTATCTTAGTGACTCTGTAGGTAGATTCTTTTCCAGCATGTTAGTTACCAAGTAATAGAATTCAAGTGAATTGCGGTCCCATTTTAGCAGCCACTGTAATGGAGGGCATAAAAATACTTGAACTTTCAAAGCCTGTGAATGTTAGCAGTCTTCTAAAATGTGCATTTMATCTATGTATTTGTTTTTTCCTTGTTGCTTTCCCCACAGATGACAGGCTGTCTCAGATCTCTGCTCGCTCTGCAGCTTCTAGCTCACTGGCCTCTCAGGTATTGGAACGAGCTCAGAAGAGGAAGGAAGATTTCTGGGGCAAGACATAATTTGTCCCACTTGTTTTATATTAACTGTGCTGTAAAATGATGTATTTTTACAGTTTGTAGTTGTGTACGTTTTTTTAAGCCTGGGATTGCAATGTCATGAAGTGTCCTTTCACCTGTCACTAAGAAGGTCCAACTGTCAGCACAGTTTTCTCATTTCAGTGTTTAAACTAGTGCTGAAAATCGAGGTCCTTGATGTCCTTAAGCATTCAGTCCTCATTCGTGATTTACAGCAGCTGTGTTGAGTGTTTTCTTTGGTTTTGTTTCTGTTTTACAGTGGCCCCTCCTGAAACTGAAACAGTTATTTTTATGCAGCCTCTCTGTTACTGTTCAGGTACTCTGCAGTTCTGCTGCAGTCATGCAGTGTCCAGGGGCAACAGCAGCATTCCCAGACATYCCAGTTGCTGGATTTTAACCAGGTGTATTAGATTGTTGTGGTACATTCCTTTGTTGCTCTGTGAATTGTGAGTTCAGCACAGTGCTATAATACACTTTGTTACTTTAAATGCTTAACTGCTTAGGTTCCTGTCAGAAAAACATCTCCTAGTATTTCCTAACAAACCTAGCAATGAACATACAARAGTTTGGGAAAAGAAGGTTAAGCTTTGGAGTTCTCATTGTCCCACCTTTTTGGTCAGGATAACTACAAGAATTCAGTGTGTGCCACAGCTAGCTGGGATTAATGTGGACTAGCTGGGTCTTTTGTTGGCAAGACCTGTTTTTTAGTGTTAATTTCAAATTCTAGGAAAAAAAAACACAATTTCAAGCACTTAAACACTAGTATTCCCTAGCCCAACTTTAGCCCAGGTATTTAGAAGTAGTTGGTTTCTTAAAGTAAACTTGGAAGAATGTTTTATTTTACTTTGAGATGTTAATTACCTCTTCTACTGATTGCCTGTTTTGGGGTGACTGGAATACTGTAGACATTGTCCCTGCAAAAACTGTTTGCTGTGTATGATGCCAGCCTGTTTTCTATGTCCGGGTGTTGCAAAGAAGTTAACACAAAGTAGAAGAAATAGGTGGGTAGCAGCCAGTTCTTAACAGCAATTTGGTTCTTTTTTATATCGTTTCAAGCTTTAGTAATACGTGGTTTTAAAATTTTGTACATGATCAATTTGAATTTTGTACACATTTGAAAATAAAGATCACATTTGTTTTACTTCAAGTTTGTTACACTTCAAACTTTGGTTTGTAATCAACAAGAAAATTTTGAAAGGAAAACTTTTTTTATGTGTGTGAATCTGCTTGTTTTGAAAAACACCAGTTTTCTTCTAAAATGACAGTTTTTCAGTGGAAAGCTGAATGGCTGAAGATGGAAATGTTGCAGCAGTGTGTTGTGGGAGCATTAATTTGRTTGTCTTCTCTCTGTATTCTTCATTGACCAGCCATGATCTTCCTTGGTCAACCATGTAGTTCAATGTGTGTCATCTGTTGCTTCTCCTCTGTGGTACCTGTAATCTGTGTATTACAACCTGTGTCCTCCTCTTTATTTATTTTCACTATTAATTCCTTTTTTTCCCCCAGTTTTCCTGGGATTCCTGGCTCTCTGGTATCTCTTGTCCGAGTTTTTGTGCAGGTTTGACCTTGAGACCTGTAAATCAGAGATGTTTTAACAGCACTTGTGCTAGCTTAGGGAGAGATGCATTATGCTGTGAGCGTGGTCTAACCGGGTAACACTGAGTTTCTGTGCTCTATGGCACGTATGTATTTAATTCTGCCAAGGGGACAACAGAAATTGTAAAGGTGGGACACATTTTTGTTGCATGAGGGGAGAAACCCACTGTAGAAATGAGGATGGAAGCTCCTGGCCTCTCAGATGTCCCCATGTGGTATTTGTCATCTAAACAGATTTAGCTTTTACATGAAATGTTATATTTGAATTTTCTTTTGGGCAGAATTTAAGGGCAAAGTAGGTAAAATGCGTTTGCTGAGTAACACTGGCACAAAGCTTCTGAGAAATGCTCTTCCCCAGTCTTTAAGGAAGATAAAATTCTTTATGCCTTTCTGCTATTACTGTTTATTTCTTCAAGAGGGTGTGTTTGCTTTGTTTTTGCGAACTTCTCAGACCACCCTTTAAGGACTTTTCCTGTTGTGTTTTCCAGCAAGCTGAACTTGGGGGGAAAAAAGCAGTTTGGAAGTGCAGCCTTTATTGATGCTCGCAGATGCGTGCTGRGCAGGGAATGTGGATTGTTTTCTGCCGAGGAAATCTCAGAAGCCTTGAGGTGGAGACTCCAGARAGTTAAACAAGGAGCTTGGCAATTGCCAATAGGAGACACATATAAGAAATAAACAGCCCGAGTTGCTGGTTGACTTAAGTGCAAAGTCAACTCCGGGTTGCAAAGTGGGCATATGAACAGCAGAGCTCATTGGTAAGAAGTTTGTATGAAGAACTGAATGTCTTCAGCTCCTGTTCCCGTGTCGGAAATACCAACTAGGTCTCTGCTTGGGATTCACAGCTCTCCTCTACCTCTAGGACTAAATAAGCCAGCTTTTCCTCACAAAATGTTGCTGATGGAGAAAGTGCCCTCTTTTACCCAATATTCCTGCAAATACATTAGTCAACCCAAGAAATAGGCAAAGAGGAGACTTGACTCCAATCTGTCACTTCCCAAAAGGAAAAGAAAATTGGGAAATTAGCTTTCTTTAGCTGATAGTCTTCTGCATGACATGAAGAACAATTTCTGGCCTAGGGGGTGGCCTTGTTCTCACTGAGGGGCAGAGTTGTGCTTGCTGTAGCATCCTCCTTCTGCCCGATCACAGAGAAGTGGCTTTGGCAGGGGAGAAGCAGCACCTTTCTCTGCACTTAGGCAGTTCTTCCAGGCAAGTTTCTGTTGCCTCTGGACAGGAAAAGAGATTTGTGGATTCAGCTGGATGCTTACAGTCGCAGCAAGGTTACACATGTGACACGTTTTGTGGCTCTGGGTATTCATTTCAGACTCCCCAGTGTTTTTCATGATGCATCAGCCTTCTGTACTTAAAAAACTGAAGTCAGTGAATCCCTAGTACTAAGATTTTGTGAAAGACCAGTTAGGGTTTTCCAGACATGTGGGAAAGTTTGAAGGAAAAATAGGGTTTCAGTATCATTCTACCCAATTAAAAAATCCAGCTAAAATGCAGAACACTTGCATTGATATTTTACAGTTAACTTTCAAGCTCCCATGCCTCACTGAGGTGAGTTCTGAAATGTTATGGGAAGTGTATTCACCTCCCAAACCTTGCAGATACAAGCAGCTGGTTACATGAGCCACCAGTTTGAGATTATTTCTGATGTAGGTGTAGGCAACAAGCATATTTTTGGATGTACAGTCTGGATTGAGTCCCAAGGCAGCTTTCAGTGATTGGAATCCTGGTAACAAGTCACTGTGGTGGTGTCTGTTTTTTTTCAGTTCTTTTTGAATTAAAAAAAGTCCTAAATGGTTTGCAAAGTTCATAGGGACCCCTGCAAAGTGAATAACAGCCTCCTGAAAGCAGGTTTGCCTTTGCTGGTGCAGGTTGTCCAATTTCCCTCTGAACCTCAGGGCTGGAGGAAAGCCAATGTGTATTGAGGAATGGTCGGAGGAAGTGAAGGGAAGTCGCTGGGTTTCTCCTTCATTGATGGTTTTTTGCCTAGTCCACAGGCTGCGACGTTTTCTTTATCCCAGTCTTGATGCTGCTGCTCTCTGACAGCTGCAGAAGAAGAAGAGCTTTTCGAACTCTCTGCATTGCTCTCCGTGAGCAAAGATAAAGAAGGGAAGATGGGCCAGGAAACAGCATCTATGAACGTGCTAACGTGCACTTGTGTAATGCTGTTTTCCTTTCTAGATGCACAAGCCTGTTCCCACTGCAAGTTTGGCAGCAAATGTTCTATTAATTCTTACTGTGTGGTTAGAATTTGCCAGTAAAGAGCCCAGTCCTTGTGATGCAAATGGAAGTTCTGCTCTTGCTTTCGTTGACCAGTTTGTAGCAGCCTGAAGCAGAAAAGCAGTTCAATTACCCAAAGACACACAAATGAGTGATACAGAAAGCTCCCAAATAGAGTTTAAATCGTTTTGCAAATTAAATAACAAAACACAAACTGATTCAAACAGAAATTTTCACTTAAGGTGACCTAAATCAGTGTCCTGATTCCAGCAGTTAATCAAACCTTTGCAAATCACAGAATCACAGAATATTTAAGGTTGGAAGGGACCTCTASAGATCATCTAGTCCAACCTTCCTGCTCAAGCAGGCACACCTASAGCATGTGGCACAGGGCGGCATCCAGGCGGGTTTTGAAGACCTCCAGAGAAGGAGACTCCACAACCTCCCTGGGCAGCCTGTTCCACTGGTCTGTCACCCTAACAGCAAAGAAGTTGCTCCTCACCTGGAGATGGAACTGCCTGTGCTTCAGCTTGTGGCCATTACCCCTCGTCCTATCGCTGGCCACCAGTGAGAACAGCCTGTCCCCTTCCTCCCTGCATTCTCCCTTCCTGAACTTATACATATTAATCATATCCCC